AGAGTCGTTGACTCGGCGTGTGGTACTGACGTACGTACTGTACACTTGTACCGTTCCTTAATTCATGGACTTTTCAATAATTTGTAAAACTTTAATAATCAAAATAGACTGAAGTTATGTTTAGCAAAAAAAAAAAAAAAAGACTGAAGTTAGAAACCAAAAAATAGTGAAGAAATTTCAGGTTTCTTATGATTATTATTTGATCATGTTTGCACGTACGTAAGGTACAACTAATATGTCTTCACCACGTTATATATATACAAATAAATTCGTAGACGATGAATTAGTAGTGGAGAACAAATAGATAGTTGGTATTATATGGTCGATGACTCGATATGTACGTACAGCTAGTGCCAAAGCAGTTTAATATTGGTGATAAATAAATACAAGCAGCTTAATTATATTTGTAGTAAAATGATGCTTGAAGTAGCATCTTTATAACATAGAATTCGTCCATTTATGTAATATCTAAAGTTCTTAACCAATTTCATGGTGATCGGTCCATTTGTTGACAGTTCACCAAATAGGTATAGTTTCAGATTTAAGGTTTTTTTTTTGTGAGTTCAATCATAGTTAAGGATTATATATATTATATACAATTTAAAAAGCAATACTGCTATAGGATTAAAAGGTTTTAGGCGCTACTTTAAATGATAAAAGAAGATTGTTTCAAAATGTTTATGATGCTATTTTCCGAATAAGATTATTCGGAATTGGTTATCTTGAAAAATGACTTGTTTTTTCTTAGAATTTGGATGAATTTGAATTGACTAGAGATCTTTCTATGTGCTTAATCCAACGATGTAATTGTGTTTGTGCGAAATGTCTTACTAAAGAGGCACGGTCACAATTTTTTTTCTTCTTCCGATTGTTTACTCTTAAGTCTTTATTGAATGAAGTTTTTGATGTTATATAAGAAAGAAAAAAGGTTACTATGAATTTTATCTTGTGATCATTGGGTTAACAGAAAAAAACTAAAGTTGTTTTAATATCAATTTATCACTGTAAAATAAATTGTGAAAAAATATAGTGACAGTGGACATATCAGAATATATACCATTTATGACAAAAACAAAACAAATATATAAAAAAAAACATAACTTGAGTCTCTTGTGTAGTTGTGTATTATTGGAAATTTCATCTTCTTTTGGTTTATATATTGGACATATTACTCTCTTTTTTTGTGTCGAAAGGACATATTACTTAGATATATATATAGAATAACCTGTAACTAATTTCCATGGAAATTATTTGTTTTTGTTTTCTGGTCGCATTGTATATATTTTCCAAATATAGTATAAATATATGAAAATACGTTGCAAATAGTCTTCTCATTACATGAAAAGCTAAATTTTTTAATGGCCATTCGATTTGGAACAGGCAGAACAACTTAACTTCCCACAACATTCGAGAGCCACACACTGATCATGAATC